ATGGCCTTTCATGTTTGACACAATATTTTCATGTGTATGTGTCTCCTCCTTTAAACTTCAATAAATTTTTGCAAAATATTGCTATTTGTGTTCCAATCTTTCACAAATATAGGCTTTGAAACTCAGAGTTCAACTGATGTGTCAAAGACATTATCACTAATCAGTAATGAACTCCATACTAAAATTGCCGTCACAGTGTTCCCTCATCTGTCTGGTGTCCCAGATGTGTGACAACACATCTTCATTGCTGTCACTCTTCATTAGCTTATGTTCTTTCTGCTGTCACTCACCTGCAAGCTACGTCACTTCAGTGATGCATTTAATTTTAAAGTTTGTTTTTATTTTAAATATTGACATGACTAGAAAATCTAAAATCACAGGCTGGTACAAATAAAATTTAAAAATCAACCATAATGTAATAGTCCAGATAGAAACAAAACTTTAAAATTCATGTCTTGACTTCAAACTACAAGTGTTTATGAAGTGTACCGCGTGTAGCAGACAGCTGGAATAAAATGGGGAACTAAGTGGAAGCAACTCCACCCTCTTGGATCTTGCAGACAAGTATTTCCGAACCGTTTTCTGTGCGCGTGTTCTAGAATGATGTTGATCATGTTACCGTGTCATGGAGGCCTTTTCATGAAAACCTTTGTCCAGATAGTGTCTATCTTCTGTCTATTGGGCCCACGCTTTAGAGCTGGTGCCTCCGCTGACTTCTAGGGCTTCAGCCTGCAGAGAGCTTGTCCTGACTCCTGTGCTACCTGGTTTTCTGCAAGGCTATGAGAGTGCAGGCCCTGGGGGGACACTGGAGAGCAGGAGAAAGAAGGAAATTGTGTCTTATTTCCTGCTTCTGGTGATAATCTGTGGTGGCAGCAGCAGCAACTGCAGGCAGCCGGGGTCATGAGGGAGTTGTGGGCTTACAGTCAGTTTCAGCCACATTTGTGGGGATGCAAGCATCTGAGCTGCCGCATATCAGCCTGGGAAGGTCACACAAGCAGCCCTGGGCGTGCAGTCCCCACCACCTCAGCGCTGAGGAGCATATGCGGCACCACTGGTGACAACTCCTGGTCCTTGGGTGGTAACACTTGGCTCCTTGCTGCATCAGCCTTCCCTCCAGCCCTTTGTACCACCCCGTAACCACTTTTGTGCATTAAATCTGTTCTATTTAAAATGGGTTAAGCATCTAGATGTGACTAGACATTGATAGCCTATCAAATTAATTATACCACAATTACAATCCTAATAGTGATTTTTTAGGTTGTGTTCAAATTTCTAGGTGATAATTAGTTTGACATTTTTAATAGCTTATTTACAAAGGATTCTCTTTTTATTGTATATATTTAACGTATACCACATATTTTTATATACATAGTGAAATTATTACTACTTATTACTACAGTCAAGAAAATAAACATGCCCATCTTTACTTTGTGTGTGTGTATGTGTGTGTGTGTGTGTGTGTCTACATGTGCTAAGAGCACCTGAAACCTACTCTCTTGGCTACTTCCCAGTATACAATACAATATTATTAGCGATAGTCATTGTGCTATACATTAGATCTCTATACTTATTTATCCTACATGACTGCAGCTTTTAACTCTTTGACCAACATTTCCATGCTCTCCCCTGCCACCTTTCCCAGATAGCACTCTCTAAGTGTGCTTTTTCCTAAAGTGATTTGCAAGGAGATATAAAGTTTTTCAAGTTTCTTAATATCCAACAACTAAATTCCCTGTCCAAAAATGTTTTCAACTTGTGTTACATCACAAGCATTAAACTTTACATGTACCAGGACTGACTTCTATGCACTTTTCCATCTTAGTCAATTTGATAGCTACGTTATTGTTTATTTTGCCTTTTTGATTGCTAATGTTTATATGACTTTTGATGTGTTTATCTATTTAACTGTTGTTTTGTGAAATATCTGTTAAGTCCCATGCATGTTTTTCTATTTCCACATGTATATGTGCATATTTCATGTGTGTATATTAAGAATTTTTTCTATTTCATTAAATTTTTTTTTTTTTTTTTTTTTTTTTGAGACGGAGTCTGGCTCTTTCACCCAGGCTGGAGTGCAGGGGCCGGATCTCAGCTCACTGCAAGCTACGCCTCCTGAGTTTACGCCATTCTCCTGCCTCAGTCATTAAATTTTATTTTAAGTTCTGGAATATATGTGCAGGACATGCAGATTTGTTGCATAGGTGAAAGTGTGCCATGGTGGTTTGCTGCACCTATCAACCCATCACCTAGGTATCAAGTCCCTCATGCATTAGCTATTTATCCTGATTCTGTTGCTCCCCACAACCCTCTGAGGTGCCCTAGTGTGTGTTGTTCCCCTCCCTGTGTGCATGTGTTCTCATTGTTCTGCTCCCACTTATAAGTGAGAATATATGGTATTTGGTTTTCTGTTCCTGCAATAGTTTGCTGAGGATAAGGGCTTCCAGCTCCATCCATATCGCTGCAAAGGACATGATATTCCATTTTATGGCTGCATAGTAATCCATGTTGTATACGTACCATGTTTTCTTTATCCAGTCTATCATAGATGAGCATCTGTGTTGATTCCATGTCTTTGCTATTGTGAGTAGTGCTGCAATGAACATATACTTGTATGTATCTTTATAACAGAGTGATTTATATTCCTTTGGGTATCTACCCAGTAATAGGATTGGTGAGTCAAATGGTACTTCTGATTCTAGGTCTTTGAGAAATCACCACATTGTTCTCCACAATAGTTGAGCTAATTTACATTCCCACCAACAGTGTAAAAGTGTTCCTATTTCTAGGCTGGGTGCAGTGGCTCATGCCTGTAATCCCAGCACTTTGGGTGGCTGATGTGGGCGGATCACAAGGTCAGGAGATGGAGACTATCCTGGCTAACATGGTGAAACCCCGTCTCTACTAAAAATACAAAAAATTAGCCGGGTGTGGTGGTGGGTGCCTGTAGTCCCAGCTGCTCGGGAGGCTGAGGCAGGAGAATAGCGTGAACCCAGGAGACGGAGCTTGCAGTGAGCCAAGATTGTGCCACTGCAGTCCAGCCTGGGCGACAGAGCAATACTCCATCTCAAAAGAAAAAAAAAACCACACAAGTGTTCATATTTCTCTGCAGCCCACCAATGTCTGTTGTTTTTTTACTTGTTAATGATCACCATTCTGACTGACATGAGATAGTATCTCATCGTGGTTTTGATTTGCATTTCTCTAATGATCAGCTTTTTTTCATGTTTGTTGGTCACATAAATGTCTTTTGAAAAGTGTCTTTTCATGTCCTTTGCCCACTTTTTAATAGTGTCGTTTGTTTTTTCTTGTAAACTTTTTTAAGTTCCTTGTAGATTCTGGATATTAGACCTTTGTCAGATAAATAGATTACAAAAAATTTTCTCCTATTCTGTAGGTTGTCTGTTCACAATGATGATAATTTCTTTTGCTGTGCAGAGGCTCTTTAATTAGATCCCATTGTCAATTTTTGGTTTTGTTGCAATTGCTTTTGCTTTCTTTGTCATAGAATCTTTGCCTTTGCCTATGTCCTGAATGATATTGCCTAGATTTTCTTTTAAGGTGTTTATAGGAAGGGATCTAACTATGAAGCTGGTCAGAACTGGTCCAAACTGACTGTGACCAGCTGAAACTGATCTAAACTGGTTAAAACTTGACGTAGCCCATCAGGACTGGCATTAATCAATTGCAGCTTGATTTCGACTGTTGGAATACCTTTAAAAGAGGACTGAGGCTTTCCCTGAGATGAGAAAAGCTCTCCTGCGGACCTTGAAAAAGCAAGGTACCAGGAGTCATTCAGCTGAAAAAAAATGAAAGATTTCAACCAGTACTTTAGCTTGGAATATGACTCTTAGCTTTATATGACACTGCAGCCCAAGCCAACAATTGGATTGCAATCTTAAAATACCTTAAGCAGAATACCCTGCCAAGACATGTAGAGACTTCTGATCCATATAAGTTGTGACAAAATGAATAGTTGCAATTTACAGCTGCTAAGTTTGCAGTACTTGTCATGCAGAAGAAGAAAGCTAATATGGTGGGAATGTTACCATAGATTTTTTAACACATCAGTTAATATTCATATTAGGGAATAGCAGTTTTTTCTCATGAAAGATACAAGAATGTCCATAATTACATTTATTATCATATAAATATCATTACAACAATATCTATGGTAATGCCATACATCAAATTACGGAAAACATGAAGACTTCAGAAAATAAAGACTTCTTTATTAAATTCAATAAAATTACTAATAAATCCATCAAAAAGTAATGTTATGCGATTGCAGTACACTACTCTTATAAAGATTAGCATGTCTAAGAATGTAAAATTCACACTGAGAGAATTTTTATTCTCAGCTTAGTCTCTTGTGCATAATTTAATGCCTGTGGAAGAAGGAAATAAATGAGATCTTCTCAATTCTCCAACACCCTGGAGGAAGACAGTGTCCATTACAAGACATGCACAATATGCCCAAACCTCAGCCTTATATATCTTTTTTCTCCATCTAAGTTACATTTCAGTTTTATAATGATTCTAAAGACATACTTTTAAGTTAGTAGATAAATAATTTGTGATTCATACTAACACAATGATTAGTCCAAAGTGTGGTATTGACCTTAGTAGAATTCTTTGTTTTTCAAGGATAAATCTAAGTATGTTAAAAGACACCAGATTTAATACATGCAGTCAAACAATGAGGCACTATGACAATGTCTCTCATTTGTTAGACAATATTAAAAAGACAAAATATATGGAGGTACATTTTCAATTGGAACAAATATATACTTGTAGCCATATACTGAACTAATCACAACCAAAATATGAAATATTTGAATGAACAAGAATGCAAACAATTTTTGCAGTTTATTAATCTTATGCTGCTACCTGTACATATATACAAATGAGTACATATTAGGTTCTGGATTACTTTGATTCAATACATAAATTTAAGCATGAAGCAAAGTATGTAAGAAAAAAGCAAAATATAGTTAGGCAATTTACTCTTCAGACTTGCCCTTCCCAAATACCTTCATGAACCCTCTGGCCACTTCTTTGTTCCGGAGGCTGTAGATGAGGGGATTCAGCATGGGAGTGAGGATGGTGTAGAATACGGACACCATCTCGTCCTGGGTGGGTGAACGTTCAGATGTGGGTCGCATGTACATAAGCATGGCCGCTCCATAGTACATTCCCACCACCATGAGGTGGGAGGAACAGGTAGCAAAAGCTTTACGGCGGCCCTCCCCAGATCCCATGTGAATGACAGCCAGAATAACTCGAGCATAGGAAGCAATGATAATTGCTACAGGGAAGAGAAGCATAATTACACAGCAGATGAATATCATCCTTTCAAACATCAAGGTGTCATTGCATGAGAGAGTAAGAAGGGCAGGAACGTCACAGAAAAAATGGGGTATTTCCCGGGCACCACAGTATGAGAAGGACAGTGCAACGGCAACTTCAATTATACCATCAAGGCAGCCGAGAATCCAAGAAGCAGCAGCCATGAGACCACAGATTTTTTGGCTCATGAGGACTGGGTATCTTAATGGGTAGCAAATGGCTACATACCGGTCATAGGCCATTGCAGCCAAAAGGAAACATTCAGCTCCAAGTAGGGACACATAGAAGAATATCTGAGTTCCACAACCTGCTAGAGAGATAAATTTTTTTCCAGACAAGTAGTTGAAGGCCATCTTGGGTACAGTGGTGCAGATGAGCATGAGGTCCATGAGGGACAGCTGGCTGAGGAGGAAGTACATAGGGGTGTGGAGCTGGGTGTCCAAACAGATGAGGAGAACCATGGCAGAGTTCCCCATGACGGCCATTGAGAAGATGCCCAAGACCAGAGTGAAGAGAAAAGTGTGAGTGGGGCTGTGATTAAAGATTCCCAGGAGGATGAAGTCAGAGTTGAAGGTCTGATTCCCCCATGCCATGATCAATATGTTCACTATGGAGAATACAACGTGTGCAAAATAACCAGAATTATGTCACAGAAATATCAAGGACTTCCCTCGGAGAACAACACACCTACCAAATGTAAACATGGGGAAATTATTTCTCTGGGCATCAAATTTTTTATTTGTAGACTAGGAAATTTAAGAATTATTTTTAGCTCGATGTGAATTTTTTAATGCACAGTACATAGCTAACGCATATGATAGGTTTCACAGTAAAAACATGGGATTTTTCTCGAGTTCTATAATCTAGTGGAGCAAAAAGTCAACTAAAAAATGTAATGTAGATTATCCCTTTATAATTACACTAAAATCATGAGAAGACTCATGAATTTGGGGGAATTTCATTACATTACTATTATATCTCCCACAGAAACTAATCACATCACCTTATGATGCTAACAAAATTCCATCTGGGAAAGTGTAGATGGAAACAAATACTAAAATGATACATGATTCATTGAATGCCAGGTAATGAGAACAAATTAAAATACCAGCATGAGGAGTATGTTACTTGATCCTTATTGCAAATAATGGTAAGTTTCAGCAGAAGATCCTCACCAATATGCCCTGGTCCCTAAAAATTAAATGTGTCCATAAGACAGTCAGGTACAGTGTATCTTCCTGAAGAACCAGGTTACACGAGAGTGTCAGAGCATATTTCAAACTCTTTCAGCTGTGTGATGTTAGATGGTTATTTTCTCTAATCCCTGTTTTCTACTCCATAAATTTTGATATTTACAATATCTATATTATAAGGTGTTATAAAGACTAAACAAAATTAGATTTTAAAGTATTTAGAACATTACATGGGATATGGTTCGTACAATACAAACATTTGAAATTAAATACTTTTGGAGGGAGTACAGTCTATTCCTAGTTTAAGAAAAAAAATCTTCATTGTCTTTAGAAAGACCCTTTTAAGAGCAACCTTGTGGCTAGAAAGTAGCATCTTTTTAATTTTCTATTTTTACATTCATTTTGTTTCATTCTTGTGCCCTTTCTCCATGGATTAAGGAATTGGCTTCCTTTATTTCTCTCCTGATACCCTCTGAACAAATTGTTCACACTGTCTTATTAATTTTCTAATACTTTTGATCTATGTAGTAATCACCGGTCCTGTGACTATAACAATATTCTAATTATAACTCTAGTGTTCACCACATCCAAATTCCTAATCAGTTCTAAATTCTCTAAAATGCTTTTCACACTTACAGTGCTATTAAAAAACTCAACCCATATTGTGTAAACTAACACATGCTACTTAATTTTTTCAGATATTTTCACTTTTCCCACTTTTCTTAAAACAATTACTAATTATATTTTCTAAAACATTCTATCATTCATCCTAGTGCAAACCTTTCAATATACATCCCACAGAAAACTCTGACACATTTTTAAATACCCATAATTTTTAATGTTTCTTAATTAACACTTATTGCCCAGTGAAAATTACCACATTGCTTGACTCAATTGCAGTCCTTCTAATAAACAAAATGTATTTTTTATTTCAAGTTCATCCATGTTGTTATACTTGTGTGAAATTATCTCTCTCCGCATGTTTGAAACATAAATACTAAAAGTTTATGGAAAATCAACATTTAACGTATCAGCTCCTAACAATGCTGCTTTTTCCATTTTGTACAAAACAATATTTCAATCCAATGTGCTGCATCCTTGAAAGATAATAAGAACCTTAAACATCAATTCTTTCAAGTTGTATCTAAATTACGTAATTAATTAGTCCACAAATTAGATTAGTAATTGAAGGAAGCTGTGCACCTTGAGGAACTCCATAGAACATGTACCTTCTGACCTGTATTTGTCTTCTTATTTACCTTTTTGCCTAGCCAGGGACTTGTTCTTCTGTTTAACCACAACCCTACACCCATAGCTTGAATCACAGAGGGAACTAAAATGTCCTGGTCCCCATTATTAATCAATGACAGGACCTGACTCTAATTAGGTTTAATTTTACATCTTTTTTTTTTCTCACAAATGTTTTCCATGCCTCCTGTATTAACAACAAACTGTGGCATATTTTAAATCTATACCTTGTCACATTCTGTCCACTTATGTAAAATCATCTGCTCACTTTACCCCATATTAGGCCCCACCTGAAGAACAGCAGCGTGGGATAGTAGAACCGATCAAGACGAGCTGTTCTCTTATTAATTGAGAAACATTTTTCAGTTGTTAGTTCCTAGCAAAGAAATACAATATCTACAGTATAGCAGATAGAGAGATGCAGCCTATATATTCCTCTAATATTTTCATAGTTCAAATATTTTCAAGGTTAGTTTGCATAGAATATATTTATATTGTGTTACATTGTATTACCTCACTTTTTGCCAAAGCCAGTCTTACCAGTTATCCTTTTCTTTACTTTCCTATCAGAGGAGACTAAAGCAAATAGTATTTCTTGGTTGTCAAGGCACTTATTTCTGAGCACTCAGCTGTCTCCTTCACTTCAGTCTCACATAAGCAACGTCTTAGTGAAAGCCAGTTAAGTGATATTAGGAAGAACACATTTATTTAGAGCTATATTAGCATGAAGGGTTAGTGTAGACATTGGAGTTGCACGCTTAAATCATAATGTGTAATACAACATTGTTTATAAATTTTGTGAAAATTTAATCACAAGTTTATATCCAATTCTTGTGAAATCTCTTGTCATATGGAATTAATAACCTTTGTCTCAAATATCTTTAAAACATAACATTTTGAATCTAAGATTCAACTTTAAACAGTTTGGGTTTTTAATAATTATAACTATAGGCTGAAGGGGTTTTACAAAGATACTCTGAGGAAAGGGGAATTTGAGATAGTAAAGTGAGAAGAAGAGAGAAAAGAAGAAATGTTGACTAAGTAAAGACAGAGTATCAAAGGCAATTCACATTGAAAGAAGAAATGTTGGTGCTGCAGGGAAACTGAGCGGAATGGCGAGGAAAGGAGAGGAAAATGAGGCAAGAAGCAGTCCTTCAATGTTGGTGACTAAACTCAGTGTCTGCCCTAGATGTGCTGCATCGTGCCAATAGACAAATCACTCTCCCACTTTCAAACGTAGATGCAAAAACCAGGTACTACATTCTAGACAAAAATGGCATGCAAAAACTCTCCTTGCTGAAATTTAGAAATTATTCATCACATACACCCCGCTGCCTACAGACAGAAACTTCAAACCATATCTCACAAAAAGGATTGCTGGTGTCTTTTAAAAAGGTTCATAAGTACTTCTGAAAAAAAAATCTTTGCATCTGTACCCCTGGAGATTACGGATAAAATTAATCTTATATTCTTCAGTATATCACAATACATTATTTTTAAATGTTTCCAAAGCACCCTTTGATGCTACTAATAGCACTCTCCTTAAAGGCATTCAATGTCTCCATTTTGTTACAGAACATACTACTTTCCTTATTGATCTTGTTTGTGAGGAATTTCAGAAAATTGTTCAAGCCTCTATTTCAAGTCATCTGTTCTCTTTTTCTAGTACAAACCCTTTGCATTTCTACTTAGAGATCTCTATGATACAAAAATGTGAGCTTAGGTCTTTCTCAGGTTTGTCTTGCTTGAAATTATCTTTCTTCTCCATAATCCTTTACCTCTGTAAATCATATGTCTTCTTCCAGTTACAGCACACATGCATTTTTCTCCATGCTTGTTTCATCATTTTATAGACAGCAAGCTCTGACTTACTCAACTCACAGAACACATGTGGCCACTGTCTGTTTTACACAAACTGCAAATGTCAAAAACCTTCAAATTAGATAAACCTGGGCTTACCTTTCTGCTGTAAAACCAACAATCTTGCTACCAGGCAAGTCAAATAATATCTCTGAGATTTAAAAAAAATTCCCATCAATCACAGAATTGCTATAAAGAATAATGAGTTATTTCTTTAAAATTTTTTCCTTAAAATAACTGTATTGCAGTAGGCATTCATCAGATGACTGTTACCACCGTTGTATACATCTTGTCACACATTTTTTGGTAATCTTCCAATAAGCTTCACTGTTACTCAACAGAAAATATTTTTGAAAATATACTGTTTTTCTTACTAGATTGTTGGTAGGCTATATGCTTATGTCTTATGTACTCTTAAACAAGTGAGGTTTACACAGCGATGGAGTCCATACATCCTCCATAATTAATTGAAAGTATGAACAAATAGACAAGATCCACTGGAGAATCTTACAATGATTCTTAACTTATGATGTTTTCTATTGCTGTAAATAATACCTTACATTGACTTAGCAGGTTCACAGGTATTATTTCATTTAATATTTTTCAAAAACTGTGACAAATATAGAAACATACTGCTTTAATTTCACAGAGACTATAAAGAGATGTGTTGCAGATTAACATGAAGCATTTACTTCCCTATTTGGAGGACTTTAAAACAGAGTAATTTTTGATATAGAACCTTTGCACAAAATGCAATTTCATTAACTGTGGTTGAACTCCAGAATGCCTTAGATATTTTGGACTATACTCCATCCCTAAACCTTACCTTCCGATGTCTTCAACACAATATGTTGCTTCAAAATGGCTGAAAATGTTTAAATTTCTAGAGATAACCCTTGCAACACAATTATGCTGAGTCCTCTGTGATTTAATTTTTCAATTCCTCCAGGATATTTGGTACCTTGACTTTAATTACAGTACTTTAAGTTATCATTCACTTTTTCTTGTAAAGCCTCATGTAATTTAGTTTCCAACTTGAAAATACGATTTACTGATGCTTAAAAAAGAAAGTTCTGTCACTTTTTTGATGAATAATATGAACTTCCAAGCAAGATGGCAGCATAGGAGGTCACCCACTTGTATCCCACCACGACCACATAAACTTTGCACGCATCTGCAAATCCAGGTCTCTTTTGTGAGGAGGTGGTTTTGAGAGTGAAGACCCACACCTCGGTGGCAGACACACCAATTAGGTTCCCAGGTACAAATCTGGAAATTGCCCCATTCCCCCAAAGGACTTGGTTATAGCCCTGTTCAGCCTTGTGTCTATTACCAAAACCATCTGCCAAGGGGTCCAGGAGGAATCATGC